GGGACACTCCAGGTTCACTATCCCTGGCTGTGACTCTGACCTTGGGACACTCCAGGTTCACTATCCCTGGCTGTGACTCCCAGTCTGTGACCTTGGGACAGTCCAGGTTCACTATCCCTGGCTGTGACTCCCAGTCTGTGACCTTGGGACACTCCAGGTTCACTATCCCTGGCTGTGACTCCCAGTCTGTGACCTTGGGACACTCTGGGTTCACTATCCCTGGCTGTGACTCCCAGGACCTTGGGACACTCCAGGTTCACTATCCCTGGCTGTGTCTCCCAGTCTGTGACCTTGGGACACTCCAGGATCACTATCCCAGGCTGTGTCTCCCAGTCTGTAATAACAGGCTGGTCCCTGCCCATCCTCTTCCTTTCAGGCCACACTCACTTCCCCACCTTCCAAGAGACCGTGGATTCAGGACCTGGCAACCTGGCTCCCCCTTCAGGCTTTGCAGACTGGGACCCCAGCACCCATGCTACTTATACAGACAGCTCTTGCCCATACTCTGCTGCTGAAGGCTTCCTGACTCCTGATTTCTACCCACCGTCAGACCCAGGGCGCCCAGGCCCATTTCCCCTGGGGATGGAGGTAAATTATACACGGGGACATATGCTAAGGGCCCCCAAAAAATTCCCAGTTGTGCTGAGCCTAGTGATCTAAGCCTGTCATTCCGACTGCTGGGGGCAGAAGCAGGATTGTAAGACCTGCCTGGGCGACAGAATGAGTTCACAGTTGCCCTGAGCGCATTAGTAAGACCTCATCTTTAAATAAGAAGTAAAAAACAGAGAGTGTTGGGAAGTATTGCTCCGTGGTCAGGCTCTTCCCTAGCATGCAAGAGGCCGTGGGTTCTCCTTGAGAATCTCAGTTACATCCCTGCAATAGTCTACGATGTCAGGGGCTGGTTTAAGATCCCATCCCCCGCCAGGTGTACTGGCTTACACCTGTGGTCTCAGCACCTGGGAGGCAGAGGCAAGAGGATTGCCATTTTGAGCCAACTAGTTGTGAGTTAGAAGCCAGTAGATGGGCAACACCAAACAAACTCTGGTATTTTTGGAGGGGTTTTGTTTCATAATGTTTTGTCTGTTTTTTCTTTTTTCCCTTACCGATCTTTTCCTTAAATATTATGGTTTCTGATTTTGTTTGTATGGATTTTCTGTGTGTGCAAATCCGTGTGTCTGTCTATATTTCTTGTACTTCTTTATTCCTGTTTGGTTTTGTCCTATTCTAGTTTGTTTTTATTTTATCTTGTTAGTATTACTATTTTTTAGATGCCTGTTTGTATTCTAATGAGAGAGAGAGAAAGTGTGTGGATTTGGGGGAGTGGGAAGGTAGGGAGGCTCTGGGGGGAACTTGGGGAAGGGAAACTGTAATCAGAATCTATTGTGTGAAAAAATTCTATTTTCAATTAAAAAAAAAAAAAAACCAAAACCCACACTGTGCCTGAAGCATGGCTCTGGTAGCTTCTGATGTATCAGATTAGATGGGACTGAAGAAGACAGAAACAGGACTCAAGTGTACTAACTGATTTCTTGAATGAAAATAATACTTAAGCTGGAGAGATGGCTCAGAGGTTAAGAGCACTGGCTGGTCTTCCAGAGGTCTTAAGTTCAATTCCCAGCAACCACATGGTGACTCACAACCGTCTGTAATGAGATCTGGTGCCCTCTTCTGGCCTGCAAGGATCCTTACAGGCAGAACACTGTATACATAATAAATAAATAAATAAATAAATCTTTTTAAAAAGAAAAAAAGAAGAAGAAGAAGAAGAAGAAGAAGAAGAAGAAGAAGAAGAAGAAGAAGAAGAAGAAGAAGAAGAAGCCGCCAGTCTAGGCTATATAGCAGAGCAGAAACAAAAACAAGCTAGGTATAATAGTATATGCTCATAATCCCAGCACTCAGACTGCTGGGACAGAATTGCTTCAAGTTCAAGGCTAGCCCGGGCTTCACAGTGATATCCTCTCTCAAAAGACAAAAGCAAGCAGAAAACAAAAAACTCTTCTTCCTTGTGGCAAAACTGAAGTCCCGGGGTTCAAAGTCAGCTCCTGGTCTCACCCATTTGACCAGGGGCTGTGTGCTGTGTGTGATGAGAATTCTCAGCTGACCGACTCTTCCCACCCCCTCCCCAGGACTCTCTGGATACCCGGCTGTACACAGAACCCTCCCTGTCACAGGTAGGATCCTGGAGAGTCTCCAGCCTCCCCCCAGGATCGCCACAGTTGCCTCCATCCACTGGGCCCTCCCTGGAGACAGCCCGAGCTCACATACTGGCTTTGGGGCCGCAACAGCTGCTGGCCCAGGATGAGGAGGGAGACACGTGAGTAGAGGGGGACAGGGTGATCTACAGACCCTGGCTTCTCTGGGTGGGCGCTCCTCTCATGCTGCCCCCACCCCACCCATCCTCAGGCTCTTGCACCTGTTTGCGGCTCGGGGATTGCGCTGGGCAGCATATGCTGCAGCAGAGGTATTACAGATGTACCGACAGCTGGACATTCGTGAGCATAAAGGCAAGGTGAGGGCCGGGAGTCCAGACTTCTGCACCTGGGGAAGAGGGCACCTGGCTTTCAGAAGGGAGGACTCTGGGAGTCCAGGCTGATTCTATTGTGACTTTCAGACTCCTCTCCTGGTGGCGGCTGCTGCCAACCAGCCACTGATTGTGGAAGACCTACTGAGCCTGGGAGCAGAGGCCAATGCTACTGACCATCAAGGCCGTTCTGTTTTACATGTGGCTGCCACATACGGGCTCCCAGGAGTCCTTTCGGTATGGCCAGCAGGCAGACCCAGGGTGTCTGGGGTGGGCTAGTTATCCAGAGCCTGGTTTCCAGGACCGGGTTTAGGGAGACCCTTCCACAGCTCTCTTCCTCTTCCCCTTCTAGGCTGTGTTTAAATCAGGCATTCACGTGGACCTGGAAGCCAGAGACTTCGAAGGTGAGCTGATCATGGCCAGGGCTGGTGTGGCAGGCAGGCAGGCAGGCTGGTCAGGGTGGATGTCCAGGTGCAGGTTCCTCACTGTTCCATTCCACAGGCCTTACCCCCCTCCACACAGCCATCCTGGCCCTCAATGCTGCTACGCCCCCACCTAGCGCCTGTCCGAGGATGCTGAGTTCTCAGGCCCGAGACAGACTGACTTGTGTGCAGATGTTGCTGCAAATGGGAGCCAGTCACACCAGCCAGGTGAGCTTGGGTGGCAGGGGACAGGCAGGCCCATAGGAAAGTGTGAGCAAAGGGCCACCTGGATGCCCCGGGGCCTAACAAATGCTGGCACTGCCTCGTCTACCCGTGTAACCCTGAGAATGTTCCTCCACTTCTCTGAGGCCTGCTCATCCATGTGGATATTATTGATCTTAGCTTCATCAAGCATG